CCTCTTTTCATTGCCCGTTCTCATTTTAGTTGAATTCAATCGTTAACATAGGCGTAAATACTGTAGCTCCTACATTTCGCCACTTTTTCTACATGTCAAGGAGGGAGTTTTTATACCAAGGATTTATTTAGCACCGAGTGAAATTAATTTGTTATTTGTTATGAAGAGAAGGTTTTGAAAGATGATCGAGTATTTACAAGAAATGTGGTTTTAAGAGAATTATTGCAATAATACAATTGATGATATTAGAAACTAACTGTTATCAATGAAAGCTGGGACAAGAATCGATGCTGGAAAGAGATACTAGTTAGGTAAAGTAGATACTGCTCATTATAGGCTTTGGTTTCCAGAAGGTAGAAGACCCTTTAGTTTTCTTATGTCTGTTTACGAACGCCAAAGTTGCAAATGAATATTGGAGAATTCAAAGTTGGTAGGCTTTAGTTTCCAGTCATTTTTGACGGAATTGTATACTAGTTTTTTCATAATTACCAAAAAAGCCCAAATTACCTCAGGCTTTTGTTTTCTTGCACAACATGGTAGCTGTCTGATGTTGTTTCCGGCTATCATTAAACCAAGCTTCTAGGTCTCATCTAATTGGAGGTACTTCTTTCGCTTCCAAGTTACATTGTATGACTACCCCGTACATCCCTGATGGATGGCTGCTGAAGGCAGAGCTTTCCATGGGATCTGCCCCCCCCCCCCGACTACCGTTCTGGTAGGCACACCTCTCTTCAGTAGAAGCCTTAGACAACAATGTTTTCCTGGAGCCCATCAACAACTCGTTTGTACTTCAGCCCCGATGGTAAAAAATAGATATGATACCACCCGAATTACCATGTTTCACCAATTTTACTATAAAAGGTGGTTTAATGTTTGGCGGATGTATGAGAGGAATGTATCGTATAACAGGAAACTCCACCAACTGACACACACACACACAATACTATGGTATCCAACAAGAACTTGACTAATCTGTAATATTCCACTCCATATCCTTTCGATCCATAGCTAACCAAGAGACACCCCGTAATATTCCACTCCATATCCTTCCGATCCACAGCTAACCAAGAGACACCCCGTAATATTCCACTCCATATCCTTCCGATCCACAGCTAACCAAGAGACACCCCGTAATATTCCACTCCATATTCTTC